TTTACTTTTTGAATGATTTGGATGTTTCATTTTATTCTTAATTTAATTCTGAAGTAGCATTTTTTGCATTCATCATTTGAAAAAATCATCTCAAAAACAGAAGTTAAAAAATTAAGGTACAAGAAGCTAGAGTGCTATCAGTATAAACTGTAACAAATTCTGTCGCAAATTCAGTGTTTTGCAGCTTCTAGATTAAAACAGCAATGAAGTTTATTGTTTCTTCCTTGGAGGAAAAGATTCTGTAGAAGAATCAAAATGGTACAGGTAGATGGCTCATTTGTGCTCTTGCAAGTCAGCTATTGCATGGGCTGGTAGAGACTGCACATCATTGTCTCCCAGTTACTAGAAATAGACTTTAAAGTGGCTTTTCTGTTTAATAAAATGAGAGGGCACATGTTGCATGGTGAACATTTTCATTTGCTTCTTCTCAGGGCCCTGTCTTTCAGCACTTGTTTCTCAGTGCTGAGTGTCCAAACAAGTGACTTTGCCAGCAGAGCGTCACAGGTCAGAGAAACTTCTGGAAGGTTTACAGGCAGTCCCTGGTGGGGGCCACTGCGTGGCCATCGTCTTGGAGAATTTTTTCTACCCAGGCAGGAGCAGAAATGAATGAAAGAATCAAGTACCCTCTGCAATAAAATTCACTCTTTCAGTGGAGAATGTTCTTTACCCATGAGCGAGAGAAAAAGAGGACAGTGGACAGTTTCCTTAGGTACAAGTCTGCCCCATGTATAAGATCTATGGTGCGCTATTTTGATGTTTTAGTAAGATTTTATTGTGCAGGTGGATGGTAATAGGCTTTAGGTGGGGGTCATGTATCTGTAACATACACCTGTCTGAAGCTGTATATGCTACGTGCACCTCACTCTCAGGCTTAGTGGATGAAGCAAGATACCTGTGAAGGAAAGAAGCTGTGTCACATTTCTTATATGCCTTCTTAAGCAAACATAAGTCTCCACATTCAGTAAACAAGAAGAATATGTCCTTCTTCCCTGCCACTCCTTATGCTGTGGTACTGCTACTCTTACTGGCCTGAAGTGAGCTGATTTGAGAAACTGGTGTGGCTGCACGCCAGCCTGGCGAGGAAAGGAGCTAGTGGAGCCACACACCAGCCCCATGAGGAAGCTATCTTGCTCCGAAAAGGGAGCTGGCTGCTCTATCCATTGAGCCTGCAATTAGAGCGCTGAGTATATTTGTCAGCTTTAAGTAGTCAGTGATTGACTGCAGAAAAGTGACTTGCGTCATAGTGGTTAGTGCTGTCTTGCAGTACATCTTGCTTTGTATTTGTCCTCAGATATGAACCTCTTGTCCATAGAGCTATAGGAAAAGGTATTAAAACAGACTATTTGGGCTGTTTGTGTTCTGGGCTTTCCCCATTTTAGAACTTGCATTTTGACAAGCCTCTCACAAGAAGTGAGGGAAAAAGGAAGTTTTCTGACTTTGGTGACCTCAGAACTCTTAAAGACCTTGCAGGACTTTTGTTTATTTTAATGTTAGCCGTTTTACTGAGGACCTTCCAAAATTGTTTCCTCCATATTAGGAGTAGAAAAGGATGGCAGTATCAGAAATGTTCTGTGGCAAAATTTAGATGTTCTAATTTACAGAGTGAGTTTGCTTGGCATTAAGAAGTTTAAATTCTTGGCATAAACATATTTTAAGTGAAATCTTAGTTCATTGATTTTTG